ATTTCGGATTCAAGATGGGTGATGCTAAGAAGTTTAATAACTGTGTTATTGTGTTTGATCAAAATGATTTCGGCACTTATTTTACCGGCCAAATTGTTAGTGGCAAAGTGATTATAACGCTGGAGAAAACAAAAAAGTTGAAAGGTAAAAAATCGGAAATTTATGTTACCAAATTGTGTTGAAATACATAAATTTTGAATAGAAGAACGTTGAAATACAAGAACAAGAAGAAGAATAAAATATGATTTTATAGAGAATCACGCTTATAATATAATTTCAAATATTACTGCTTCGTCCTCTATTTAGGTCTATTCGAACGCTTATTGAAAGCACCCGCTTAAATTCCAGTGTATATTTAACTTAACCACCTTATATAGAGAGGATTTCTTTTATTCAAACTTAAGTGAGGCTAGCAGACATACCTATTAGCTAGATCAGCATACACCTAAATTCTGGTATCGAGTCTAATTAAATAAACTTGTAATGACATCAAGTGATTACCCTGCCGGGAAAGGCTAGTGCTTTGAATAGCGCATATATGTATTAATGTTTATCAAGTTTCAGTACAAGTTAACTTCAGTAACGCCTCTTTGTTAATGCTTATCTTCACACATATCAGCGTCCAAGCATGTTCAATGGAAAATAACTTCTTTATAGTACACAAAAGTTAAATATGGTTATTTTACATTATTGCCAAATATATTTTGTACCACACGGGCAAGGACTTTGTTAGGATTTATAACATGAACTGCTGAAACTACTGCAAGTTCTCAAGAGTTTTCAAACAATTTATGCATTATTTCCTATTTTCCTTCAAGTAGTGCAACTCTGTCCTATTAGTTTACTCTCGACTGCGAAATATCAGCTATTCAGTATTTCTCTTGACGCTCTTTTCTATTCGAGTGATATTTGATAACACAAAAATATCTTAAGACCTTATAAGTTCATGTCTTAACTTTTTAAACACATATTCATGTGGCCGCCTTCACCTGTAATACTATACGCTTAAAAAGCAAACAGATACTTACAGACTTAAGCGTTTTTTCAACAATCTTATTATTATTAAAAGTTATTAATAAAAGTTTCTATGAAGTTCTTCAAAACTTTTGGCTTTCCGCTTTTGTAAGTGATTAATAATTGTCTGCTTACACATTAATTGCTTAAAAATTACTAATAAATGACTCAGTTAGACCGAAAGCTGATAAATATCTTTTTTTTTTACTGTAGCATATCCAACGCTGAATCAATATGCTATGTTTGGTAAATGTTGGGTTGGTGGCAAACCTTTACTCTGAACATCACTGATTGAATCTGATACTAGGTACATAAATACCATATATGCCTCTCAACTGAGAGAATGGAGTGATATCTTTTTAAATCACACTAAATTAACATTTATCTTATCTTTACTGTCATACATTTTTGTTTGTGAAATTATCTTATCAGCATTTCACATTTCCATAAGTTTCTAATATTGTGAAGAGCGTAAGGAAAATATTTTGTTTTGAATCCAGTTATATATAACACTTTAAAAATTATAATAATACATACACAGGCATATGCACCATATATCTAAAAAATTAGAATTTCGAACCGACCAATAATCTTTATATATATTTAGCGTGCGAAACTTGACAAAACAAATTATTGCCACTTACGAGCACGATCGCATAAGTACTTAATTTCAGCGTCCAACGGCGCCATCATCGCAAAGAAAATTTGCCGTTTAACAACTTTTTATTTCAATACCATGGATGAATGACTGACTAAAATTAATCTTAGTGTCGATAGAACCCCCAAATCAACAAAGTTAAAAACTCTCTCTATTCTATAGTATTTTAATACATAAGAAGATGTGTGATCAGATCTATGAGTAAAACCCATCGTCTTACAATTCTTGACATTCATTGGCAAATCATTTCTATCAGACAATATAAAATAATAGATAAGGAGATATTCATAGAAGAAATCTTGGTTGAAAGCTCAAAAGACCAAGTCTTGATACGAGAGTCGAGAGATTTTAATAAATTGAGTCGTAGACTTATACTCTAAATAACTAATAACTAATAAGCTGCAGAACGGTTCTAAGAGAAAGTTGACGCGGAAATGCACCATTGTTTATTCTGTGATCCTATCAAGTACTGGAAACAGATCTATTACCAAACAATTTGAAGCTCCAAATATCAGAGCAAGACAACAAGCTCAACAAAAATTAACTGCGGTTCTCAAGCTTAATGTCTCATAATAACAGGGATGTTGAAGATAGCTTAGATAATACTGTTCATTAACTACATACGTACACATCTCTAATAAAATGTATGATACATCGTTATAATACGTTATTATTATTATTTAATTTTATTTCTACCCACTCTCCATTTTTTAGGCATTAAACTACAAGTTTGTGGATTCGCTGCTTGTCAATGGCGTGAAAAGTATGGACAAAAGATAGCTGTAGCAAAAATTGACGGAAAGGACAAGCATGTATACTTTGGTCGCGAAGATTATATAGCGTCCACGACGTTTTTGGTAGGCTCGGAATTTGGAAATAATTTTACTATGGAGGAGGGCACTTACACCTATACATTCTCTTGTCCTATACCATCTCACTGCCCATCTTCCTTTGAAGGCACTTACGGCCATATCCGTTACCTCGTCAGGGTTACTTTCATAAGACCAGGGGCTGCTGATCGTGTACATAATGTCGGCTTTACAGTGCTCATGCCTTTAGATCTAAATAAAGATAGTAAATTGTTAGAAGTGAGTAAAATCAATTGGAGATCTTATGGTTTTTAGAAAGTACATATATTTATTGACAGGCTCCTGCTACCAATGATGCTATGGAGAATGTTTGTTTCTTTCTCGCCAAACCCGTACATTTGACAGTTTATCTCCAACAAACTGGATATGTGCCCGGTCAGTTCATCTTGATCAGCGCAGATGTCGACAATAAATCTACAGCAGATTGCAAAAAATTAATTATAATGCTGAACTTACGCGCCACCTACAGCTCAGGGACACCTGCTTTGCATACCGTCTCAGAGAAAATATGCCTTGTCAAGAAAGTGTGCGGCCCTGCACCGCGACAGACACGTAAGTCCTTCGCTGAGACTATACGCATACCAGCAACTGCACCGACTTGTGAACACATCAGCAAAAACGTGCGTGTCTCCTACGAGTTATGCGTTATGGCCGTAATGACGACCCTAATGCGAAATCCAAGGACTACAATACCAATAACTATAGGCAATGTGCCGTTAGCAATTAGTAACACAATAGAAGAAGAATTCTTGGAGGACAGAAGAGAAGAGAATATGCAGCCGACAACATCGCGTGCTGTCTTAACAGGAAACAGTTTGGAGAATGAAATCGAGGCTGTTGGCGACGTGAGTGAAGATGATATCAGCGAACAAGAAATTGAACTGCGTAAGTCCAATTACTTTACGGAGGAATATAATTACGATCATACTCCCTTGAAATCTTATATTCACAAAGAGAATCTTTAACCCTTCATAAGAGATAAAAATGAGAGAATTTTTAGCAAGGAAAGCGTGTAAGATTGTCAGGGATCTTATTTGCAGCGCTAAATTCTTTATTAAGCTCTTGATCATTTCATATTAGTTCATCAATTCTTTAGCATAATTACTTTCCAAAAAACGTTAGCAATTGAGAGAACACAGACACTAAATTAAAGTTATGTAATAACTTTCCTCTATCAGAGATTGCATTTAGGATTGACGTAGTGACCAATATCCCAGCTTCGTTATATTTTCATGTATTTATTCCTCTCACACTTAATTTATATATTTTACACATTTATGCTTCATTTCTCTTATTTTTCCTTCGCGCAATAATCTTGCAGCTCCACCATCCTACGAACAAGCGATGTTCATGAGCACAAATATTGCTGACAACGACGCCAATACGGTCAGCGTAGATGCACCATTCACACCACGCTATCCGGTCTACAATATAGATGAAGGATCTCTGGCCTTCAGCAGTATGGGTTTGAGCCCACCACCGAATTTGCCACAAAAGCGACTACGCCGTAGAAGGAGACGCCGACCGGCAGAAAACCCAACAAAGTTCGCCAAAGATCAACTGCCAACTGAATCGCCAATACAAATATGAAATTGAGAAACCAACTGCTCGAGGAAATCAAAAACTAAAAGAAGGCAAAGGATATAAAGTGCAATATTTTACATATTCAATATTATTGTATGACTATAATTGTTAGAAAAGAAAATTAATCTTGACACATTAGAAAATAATCTGTACCAAATTTCGTGAAGATACATTGTCAAATGTGAAAGTTTCCATACAAGAAGTTGATTCCGATTGTTCAGTTTGTATGACAACTATATGTTATAGTGGTCCGATATCGGCAGTTCCGACAAATGAGCAGCTTCTTGAAGAGAAAATGTTAAAAACTTCATTACAAACTTAATATACCCTGTTCAGGGTATAATAACTTTGAGTTTATTATCAAAAAATCCTTAAAAAGGTTAGAGGATGTTTAATTGGGGTGCTGTATTTCGTGCGGAAATAACTGTTAAGCCAACTGGCAAAGCACAAGAAGTACCTGAAAAAATTTTAAGTGGATTACTACTTTAAAAATTAATTTTCCGCCTTACTTTGAATAACCGGTTTCTACTTGAGGATGTTCGTGAGAGAAGCCTTCCCAAAATCACATATCCGTATTGACGCATATCCGTGAAAAAGTAATGTTTTGAGCAGAGTCTTTGGTTCAACTGCTCTGAATTGGAGGCAGAATACATCTTTTGTCCATAAGCCCCACTTCGTTCGTTTGTCTTTAAAATATTTGGATATACTACTTCAAAATACTTGTAGATCCTAAATTGCTGAAGACAATTTTTTTTTGTGTAATTTGGAAGAGGAAGACCTCCACTCCGTTGGAAGGACCAAGTGGAGAAGGACCTGGCTGCACTTAGAATATCTAATTGGCGCCACGGAGCGAAAAGAAGAAACGACTGGGGCGCTGTTGTTAACTCGGCTATAATCGCGTAAGCGGTGTCTACGCCAATCAAGAAGAAGAATTTGCCGACGAAACCTTCGGAGAAAAGTTTGATTACAGAACTCTATAGATGTTTCTCATTGACAAAAGAATTTTAAATTTACGTTCACAATAATATTATTTCTACTATAGAAATACAATTAGGCAACTCTGTCTAACATCAGCTGTTAAACTGTGATATTTAGCCGGCTCACCTAATAAACAAACAAGAAAATCATGTGAAAACAAAAGACAATTTGATGACGTCACTTATAATGGCAAATTTCAGACGCGACACATGTATACATATATGTATGCTCCAACAATGCTGAGCTACTGAGCCACTCGCGCGCTCATTAAACAAAGCAAACGCTCTCCACACACATATATAACCGAGATATATATGTAAATGTATAGGTAAAATGCTCCAAAGTACCAGTGGCGACAGTCTCATTTCTTTCATTCTTTCTAAACAAACCGAAGCTAGAGAGTTTGTTATACTCGTAATATGCTTTAGATAGTCAGTGAGACGGCAGTGCGCCGGTTGCATCGACAGCTTGGAGCCAAATAGACTGTGAAGCAGCCCGTGTGGACCTACATTATACGAAATAATTATATATTTGTGAAAACATATCTATAATATATATATTGTGTGTTTTAAAATAGTCAAGAATAAATGCGTAGATAAGAGTGAACTACGGTTATAAGTTATTTTCTCAAAAAGCTTAAGTGAACATAAAAATATATTGGAATATACATTGGCATATATAAACAAAACAAAAAAATATATATATATATAGAATGAATATTTATAGTGCCGCGTTGCGTTAAATTGTTACGTCTGTCAATTGTGTAGAATGTGATGCCTTCGCGTAACTCATTGATACATGTGAAAATAAATTTATGTATTTAATTAAAGTCAATTTGTTTACGCGCAATAAAATCTTTAATAAATACAAGAACAATGCCATCGGAGTGTATTTTCGAATTCGATCGGCCCCAACCGGTTTACTACAGCGGAGAAATAATTAACGGACGCATTAACTTGCATACAACCAGCGAGAAGAGCGTTCGAGGTAGACGGATTTTTCCTTACAATTAATATTAAATATAACATAAGAGGCAATACTGAATAGAATAAATCCGATTAAAATATTATATATGCTACTTACGGGCTTTTCGAACTACTCACCTTATTGTAAATATATGTGTATAGTAAATATATATATATTGTAAAGACAGTATTATCTCTATCATATTTGTTGAACAAGTAATGTTATTTGTCTCCAAACAATGATAAGCAATTGATCTGCTATTCACTGGAAACTAATAGTATTCACTAGAATTGCAATTATAATCACATTTATTTAAGTATTGACGTATGTAGGTATATTATTATAAAAAAATTCATTAAAGCTCCCAACCACTAATTGTACAAGTATCGAATAGATTATGTTATTGGGGATTCCTTTTTGTAACGTTCGCTTGTGTTTCTGAAAAAATTCCAAAATTTACTTCTCATGCAAAATGAATGCATATTTGAAAATGATATCAAAATGCAGGGAAACAAAATTGTCAAATATGTTAGAAGACCTTGAGTATTATTTTCATTTCAATAAATACAAATCCTTACACATTTCTACAATTTGGTGGAGCTTTTATATACTGTCACCCCTAAAACCCCAAACTTCAACTACTAGACAAGCTGAAAAGTTGGTGTCGTTCCGGTGAGATGTTTGTAATCAGATATAACCTTCATAAGGCAACAGCTGATAAACGGCTGATAGCAGATTGATCTGAAAAAATATATAAAAAAGATTACAATCTGTTAATGAAATACTAATTTTTGATGGAAAAATGTCTACGGTGAACAAAAATGGGCTTGATGACTCTTATCTGAGCATCACTCAGTAGGCGAAGCAACGATTTGTTAGTGGATTGTTGAATGCTTAGGTAAACAGGGAAAATCAAAGAAGCACAAAAGATCCATACACATTTTTTAGTTAACCTTATGGACTAATCGCGATAGCCTAAAACTTTCGAAGCTTTCCGTACTCAAAATTTTCTCCGGAAGAAAAATGTCTGCAGAGCGCTAAGATACAGATAAAGAGTAAAGGCTGTTTTGAAGCAAAATAGTATGGAAACGTTTATTCTGTATGTTGAATAACAAAAAAGTTAAATTTCCTAAAGAATTAAATAAAAGATTAATTATAATAAAAAAAATTATAAGCAAAAAAAGCGATTAACTGTCAGAGAGCCTCACTTACGTTGACCCAAAATATAGCTTCTGTAGAAATAATTAAATTATAACTTGTCACTAATGATGTTTAGATGTTAAAAGTAAAAATGCCATTTATATACACAGCCTTTTTTGCTTGAATAATTCCTGCGCTTGCGATCTACTAACGCGTTTGCATCTTTTTTATTTCTGCCAGTAATGATAATGAACTTGAAGCAAGGAATGCCAATGATTATTATTTTTTGCATATTTTTGTGTATGTGTAGATGTATATGAATATATTGCGAGTAATACCAAACAAGAACATCTGCAGTATATATTTTGAAATATTAGGAATGATTATTTTATTTTCATTTGTCAAAAAGACTGTAGATTCCATTTATGACATCAATATTTAGACTCCCTCGGGATATGCACATTTATATACACATGCAAATACATTTAAATGTATTTTTTCCATTCCTTCCCACTAAAATCAGAGGTCTACATACTCTTTGTGGGCGAGGCGAAGGTCCGCTGGGAAGAGAGCCGTACACGCTCTAGGGATGGCAAAACCGAGCACTATAATGAATATTATCGCGCTGATGAAACTTATCTACACTCGAGAACTTGCGTACATGGCGACGGTACGCTACAACCCGGCACCTATACTTACACCTTTTGCATACCATTACCACTGGAGTGTCCGACATCGTGTGTGGAGAAATATGGCAAAATTGCATACGAACTCTCGCTGGTATTGAATCGACCATATCGGTTCGATAATGTATTCAAAAAACCGCTAACGGTTTTATATCAGGTGAATTTGAACATGCAACCCGAGTTATTGGTGAGTTTCTAAATTACAAAATATTTATATAAATCTTTGTATTAAATGCATTACTCCCAGATACCGATTAAAAGTGAGGACATTAAATACTTTTGCTGCTGGCCATGCTCTTCCGGCCCAGTGATATCAACGCTTACCATACCATTTGGCGGTTATGCGCCCGGCCAGAGAATCAAATATCAACTCGAAATAGACAATCAATCGACCGGCTATGACTTAGCTGATGGCATCGAATTAAAACTGACACAGATTTACAGTTTTGAAGCACATACGCCGCATAGAAAGACGCGCTATCACAGCAATACATTGGCACTCACCGAACAGAGTATGCAATGCTTGCGACTGTCTAAGCGATTGATTGACGGCACACTTCTTATACCGCCTGTGCCGCCTACCTCGAATCGAAATTACATTATTGGTGTACGTTATGAGATTAAGATGTCCATAAACACCGGTTGCTGTCACACAGACTCCGAAATAGTTATACCCATAACAATTGGAACAGTGCCTTTGGCGCAGAGCGCCACCAATCCACAGAATGCAATCGGTTTGCTGCCGACAGCGCCAGCAATTCCTGATACACCGGGCAAACCGCCTGGCAGTGATGCGCCACCAAATTACGAAAAATTCAGTAAGTGGATTCAGCTTAAGCGTAGGACTAGGTTTATAAAACTTTTCTTATACATTTTACACAGAGCCACCGTCCTTCGACGAGGCTACCACCATTGGTGGAAAGTTTATTGATCGCGATGTCGATGAGCGTAATCGCACCGATGAATTCATACCTCGATATCCGATGTACACGAATTTCGCCGTGCCCACAGCACCGTCTGGCGTAGGTGGTGATGAGGCCGATGCCCCACTGCTGGTATCGCCTACTGCGGCTTCAACGCACACTGCGCCACCACCTTATCAGCAGGAAAGTGAACAGTCTAGTGAACCGGCCACACGCGGCACAACTGGCTACGGTTGGAATAGTTGAAGCCGTGCAGTCACTTCTCTAATATGTTAAATGTGATTTTAAGCGTGCACATTTCCTATTCCAAGCCATATATGAATTAAAGCGTTGTGGTTACTATAAAGCTTACCGTTTCGCTATGATATTCAAATCGATTTTGCAAACTATTTGTACATAAACTTGCTTAAGACATCAATAAACCAGCTTCTGTAATATACAAGTATAAACTCAAAAAGCTTCGTTTTTTTCAATTTTAACCTTTATGTGCTTTCCCAAATAGTTTTGATGAATGCTTGACTCTTCTCGAGAGGATAAAAACCCGGTGAACTGAAATACATGAAAAGAGAAGGGGTTGAGGGGACGCTTTTAGACTTACAGTGGTAGTCTTAAGTCACCGGATTTTGACATCATAAATATGATCCACATAGTGCAAGTGAATCCTTGTTAGTGTTAACAGATTCATTGACACATCGGGTCAAATTCTTGTAGTATTTTACTTCTAGTAAGCAAGCGATACACAAAGAAACACTTGCGCTCAACGCAATCATCATAACAAACAGTTGGACTAGAAAACGAGTGTATAAATTTGTATACTAGAATAATTTTTCTTTCTTTTCCCACACTACACAAATATTTGAAAGCTTATCAAAACCAAACTGAAAGTCATTTGGAAAAAAATAAAAAAATGTATATGTATATATTTAAATAATTCGAGATTTTAAGCATTAGACAGTAATTTTCACAATGCCTACCTGCGAGTTTACCTTCGATCGTGATACGGCGGTGTATGTGTGTGGTGAAAAGCTAAGCGGCAGTGTGGCGGTAGCATTCGCAAAGGAGAGATTACTTGAAGGTATTTCGGCACACATTTTATTAAAAAGGGTTATGCAATTCTACGCAATGCTTCATCACAGATATACGCATAGACTTCTGTGGTAAGGCAACCGTTAGTTGGGTAGACACAATGGCGCGCTTTCCAAAGCTCTACTCCGCTGAGGAGACATATATGGAGATGGAAACAGTTGTGTTTCAAGGCGGTCTACTGAAGCCAAGCACATATAATTACAGATTTAATTACCTTATACCAGATATATGTCCGACCACTTGTACGACAGATATCGGACGCATTTACTACGAATTATCTTTAATACTGTCATTCCAAGACAAGACACACGACAAGACAGAGACACGTAAATTTACACATGAAATACTGGTGGTGCAGGTGTTTAATATCGATAAAATACCCAATGCATTGGTGAGTTGTAAGCCTTAATAAAATTAACCGAAATTTATTTGAAAACTACGGTTTCGATTCAAAACCCAATGCAGTTACCAGTCATACGTAACGATGAGATCTTCTTCTGCTGTTGGCCCTGCTCGGCCGGTCCGATTTGTATGCACTTGAAGGCAGCATCGGGCGCCTACATACCCGGCAACACTATAAATTTCTCCATTGAAGTCGCTAATATGTCGAAGCGTTGCGAATTTCGCACACATATCACCGCCTCCTTCATGCAAGTCTACAAATTCACCACGCAAGTGCCGCGTCGTCGCACGCGCTATATTTCGTACATTTTGAGTAGCGTGGAACACCGCATCATTGTCAAGAAGGATGACATCGCTTCGCTGGATGATAAATTCGTCGTACCGCCGCTGCCGCCTTCCACTCAGGGCACGCACATTATTTCAATTAAGTATGAGTTACGCTTAGAGACGCGCATCAGCTATGTCACACAAACAATGTCGGACTTGACATTGCCCATACTGATAGGCACGTCAACGGATATAACACCCGAGCATACGGTGAGTCCGTCATTTGTGTATATATAATTTTATGGCACCACATATTCCTAACTGATATCAGTCTCCTTTCCTTTATCTAGAATACGCTGAGGAAAAGTAGACGCTTGTAACGCCGTTACGCCCACAACTCTCTATGCAAAGTTTGCGTTTATTTTAAATGTTTAATATTTATGTATCATATGTGTAAAGCTAAAGGCTACTTTTATGTGTTTATATATTATTATTTGTGTGTATTATAGCGATTATACTTATGCTTATGAAGATCCTTCTAAAATACTTTTACGCTCCTTCCTTTTCTTTTTAGCTCTGACATAATCTCTGGTTGGAGTAGCGGTATTTTCAGGGGTTTGATCTTCGCTGACATTGTTTTGAGGTACCTCGGTAGCGCTTGGCAGTGCTGCTGCGGTTGCTGCTGCAGTTGTCGTACCGGCTACAGCATTTTGCACACCTGGCAGACTCTCTATGTCATAGTAGAGATATGTTGGTTGGAAAACGGTTTGCTCCTTATCGAATTTGGATTTTTTTAGTTCTGAGTTGAATTTAGTTTTCGGCAAATGTTCAGCTTCGCGGAAGGACATGGAACCTGGAATAATGAATTTTTTTCTTTCCATTTTATATGGAAAAAATGGATTATCGCTATAACTCACTCAAATTTAATTCACAAGCACTTCGTATGGGAGATTCCGGCTCAGGTGCTGTGGCCACCGCAAAACCATCTTGTGGTTCCCTTGTTAGCGACATGTCGAACTCACTGCATTTCAATGGCAAATTCTCCATGCTGCGCATTGCAGAGACCGCCGTTTGCATTGTGCCAGAAAGTGCATGAACTTCTTGTGGCACCTGTAGGGATATAGTTCCCACAACGATCGGTATCTTTGCTTGCAACGAACGTTTTGCATTACTCGTGCTCAGCTGCACACTTAACTCGTAACTTATTTGCAAGCACTGACAATCGGCTGGATCGGTATTCGGCACAGTTTGTGGCAAGAAAAAGGTTTGCAAATGTTGATCGCTTCTTTCCCGTGAGCCGCAGAACATATGCACTGCTTTAGACAAAGTGGTGTGAAAGTATTTGGTTTTAGTTTTCTTGTGGCCATGCGCGGCGGTTATGCAACAAATTTGCTGCAGCTCATAGGTTAATTCGTGTAAACGCAACTTATCGGGATTCTCTATGCAGACGTGTATTGAAAGTTCTTCGCCGGGCACATACCCAAACTGTTGTAAGTTCACACACATTTTCAAGGGGTGTTTGAAGAAATGCCAAGGTATATTCTCTTCGACCAGCACATCACCAGCTTTTTCGGCGATTTCTGGGTATCGGCGGAGATCGAGCGGCTTGAGCACTTGCAATTGCTGTGTATACCATACCTCACGTTTGTTCTTATGGTCGATGAATACTTCGAGCATATAGCGTATGTGACCGTTGGCACTATCAAAACTGGATGGACAGCTTTGTGGCAATGCAACGCAAAATGGATATGTGTAAGTGCCACGTTCAATGATTCTGCCTGTTGCTGCACTTGTAGAGTGTTCAGTTGAAGATATGTAAATATAATATGTAGATGTATATTTAACAGTAAAAGTATATAATTCCTTTGTGTCTACCTTCCTCGGAACCGACAAAGTAATTTACATTGGACAAAAAGTCTTCACGATTGTTGTAAACTTCAATGCACTGCTCAATAGGAGGTCCAATGTCTGTGGGTTGCTCCGACACATTTTGTTGATTTATTTTCTTAACTTTCGTCGGTAGAATTCTATCCCATTTCACTTCTGCAAAACCCGAATATTTGATGGCAAATGCTATTGTTGTGTTTGTATTTTTATATTTGTTATACCGTGTCAGGGATTCCAGTTTTTGCAACGATAAAGTATTTAATTTAGTATGACTCATAGTTACTGAAAAATTGTAAATCACTTTATACCTTTGATAATCAGGCGTACCTCCATTGTTAGTAGCACATGGCCGGTGAGCTTGTCGCCGGGTTCATAAATACTTTTTGGGTTATCCAAATGAACTTGACACTTTAGAACCATGGTGTTTTCTATATATTCTTGGTACTGCAATTTTTAGTCTCGCAAAATTCGTTCAACCATGTTCTTTTCACTTCCACAGTCGCTGTTGTACTAATTTCTGCGAATGGTTACTACATTATTGAATCGATTTCGCTTGATTATTACCTTTCATTATCTTATCATCAGTATTTTGGCTTCAAATTAGATATACTCGTACACACTTCTACGTACGAGCATTCAAATCTTTATCTGCAACTGACTTTTCAGTACGGGCTAATGTTACAACGGTTACAGCTTAATGGAAAATTATTTGTAATCAACAGATAAGTTAACATATTTGTATGCTGTTCAATAAAATTAACAAGCAGCCAAGCAATGTAGCTTGTACTGTTATTAACAGTGTTATCTGTTATCAGTATTAAGCTTTTATGCGGTAAGCTCTAAGTGCTCGAGCAATAGGAGAAGCATTAATTTAAATTCGCAGATTTATGCAACTCTTCATCTGTGCTTTAGTTCTACATAAATTCATACGCTTTAGACCTATTTCAAATATTTTTAGAGCCTGAGATCAATGTAAGTTTTGAAAATTGAATAGCTGTTTTTCCCACAAAATTGTTTCTATTCACCTTGCCAATACTACCTAAAAGCCTTCAAGGACTAACCCAGAAACAAATTGTGAACAGAGACTGTTGTTTCCAGGATAAGGTACAGTATGGTGTAGTCTGAATGCCGAAGAGATTATGTAATGAAGAACTAAACATTCTCTTATCCGATTCAAGTCTTTCGTGAGATAAGAGAGATATCGCTGACCTTCTACGCAGCGGCGGGAAATATATCGAGGAGTCAAATGCCTATATAAACGTCAGACCTAGTTAATACAGGTATGTGTTAGTTGGCATATCTAACTTAAATAGTAAAACAACCATCTGATGACTATATAACATTTTACGAGAAAAACTTCTAAAGCTGATTCCAGCTTTTTTGAGATGAAGATGTTGGGTAATAAACTGAGCTGTCGGCAATCGAAAACATTGAGTTATGGTATGTTTTTTTATGAAGAGATTTAAATTAGAAGTATATCTATCTTATATATTAAAGCTTTGAGCATGCATCCTCAAAACATAAAATTAAACTAAAATAAAGTCCAGTCATCTCCCACGAATTGATTACATAGACACATGTTTATACATATATGGTAAATATATATATTATATATATTATCGAAAATAATTTCAAAGCTTCTACAACTAAAATATTAAATCGTGTAACGTTTTTACACTAACCCTAAGGCATCAAGTGGACATATTATGTAATATAAGCATTATAATAATTTACAAACTACAAAATGAGGTATTGGCATATTGGCGAGTGGCAAGTTGCAGTTTTGTCTTTTGGCACTTTTTGTTTAATTCTTTGGCACCTTAGTCGGTTTCAAGTAAATTCTATAATTTCCGTTTTTTTTTTTAGAAAATGTCCTCATCATCGTCATCGTCATCGCCTCCATTGGCGTCTTGCACATGCTCATCGGTTTCGCTCAGCACACCACAACTCGAAGCAAAAGTGTCCAGGCTGCGTCCGGTGTGCCCAGTGCCAAGCGAGCCGTAGGAATGGTAGTAATTCAAGCTCAAAGCCGAGTCTGCAGACATATTAATGGCCTGTGTTGAGGCAGCCACAATGTCGTAGCCAGGAAATTTGGGCAACTTAATCGCACGTTGTTGTTGTCCTCGTGGTTTCGAATCTGAGGAGTGGCCAACACTGTCCAGCGTTTGTTGGCTGCTGAGCGTGGCAAAACTGAAGGATGGAGGTACTGAAAGTGATGATAAGTGTACACGTTAGTTTAAGGAAAGGACTTTGAAATGTCATAGTTATGAATTCATATTGCTTATTACTTACAACAACTGTCATATGAAGGCGGCTCATCGTCGTCGTTGTTATTAGTTATATCTTGAGTGCGTATTCGTCGTGATGTAGCGCGGCTACTGGCTACTGGCTGGATCACATCATCATCATCATCATCATCGTCATCATCATTGCCCTCATCATCCTCTTCGGTCTGATTAATTTCCGCCTGTACACTCCACTGCTCACCCGCCACATCACCGTCCTCCTCCTCTAGCGTAGATATATCACGGCTGCTGATTCTACGCGGCTGCGTGGTCACCAGTTGTACACCGCGCTGCTGCAGCGGAATGGTACCTATCACCACAGGCACCGACAGATCTGTATCATAGTGAAAGTAGCCAGTCTTCAACTTTACTTGCAGCGTGTAGTGTACAAAAACAATATAATTGGGATTAAGTGTTGAACGCGGTGTATCGGAGGGCACGCATACGGTGCCCTGATACATGCGTTTGGTCAGTCGTAGCGTACGTTCCGTAATGATGCTTTTCGCCAATGTTTTTGTATAGAAGTTGCGTTTATAAGGCTGTCGTGCTAGGAAAATAAAGTGCTGTTTGAGAGAGGCCTCAACGCTGGAAATGTCATAGTGCGGCGACTGGTTGTCCACTTCCAGGAAGAACGTTATTTGCTGTCGTGCCACGAAACCATTGTAAGGCAGTAGTAATGTGTACATAATGGGTCCCGAGGTGCATGGCCAATTGCAGAGATATTTCACGTTCTCGTCGCGTATTGGCAGCTGATAGAAAACAGTTATAGATAATAAATATATATTTTCCATGACTTTAAACACTCACTCCATATTCCGGGTTATGATTCAGGTTTAGTGCCTGCACCACTGTTATGGGTTTACGGAATACCTCGTCAAATGTCCACGGCTTGGCGATGGTAAGCGAGATATTGTAAGCTATGAAACCATAGGGACCTTTGCATGAGGACGGACAACCGGACGGTATACGCAAGCGCAGCACGTAGACGTGTGTGCCCGCACGGAATTCGGCACTATCAAAAACATTGGTGCGCGTATATAAATATTGCTGATGACCACAGTAGTTGGCCGAGTCACTCTTGCCGCTGAGAGACCATTGCACGCGAGCCTCACCTTCCAGTGTTACATAGACAGCTGCGAAATGGAATGAGTTAATTTGTATGTACATATATAAAAACAGATCTCAAAGAGAAACATCAAACTCATAATTATCATCTTACGGTGGATATTAGGAGGGAATAATATATACTACGTATCATTATGAAATTTAAAATAAAAATTAATTTCTTTGGCGATATTAAGAAAAAACGTTGACGCTGTCGCCTTAAGTATACCTGAAGCTGCAACTTTTTCGAATAATATATTCAATAAAAACATTTCAAAATAAAACTTTTAAGTTGCTGTCATGCCTTCAAATTATTTTTCGGAATGAAAGTCTTCTTAGAAATACATGTGTAGGTTTGTTATGTTTTCTAATTTGTTGACGTAAATTTTTTAAACAAGCGAGAGCTTTAATTATAAAAATGTTACCACTTTAAACTTTTACAAATCTTGATATTTAGCTCATTGTATTTTTTTTATAGTATTACTTGTATTTTATTCCTTCATATATTGGGTCGTTCACTAAGTTGTTTCGTTTAATAAGCTGATCGCATTGAACAGCTGATCTGATTGAAACTTTTGTGGCCAAGTTCACACTTATCCGCTTTACCGTTATATATTTCAACAGCTATTGAGTAAGGCTTGCTTTTAAATAAAATTCTTCACTTTTTTGGAACATGTTTAGTTTGTTGCCCTATCAGAGATGGAAGATCGCAAACAGCATTTCGGCATATTTTTATTTTTATAAAAAGTTGAAAATTAATTTCAAACAAGGCAAAATTAGCCAATATGCAAAACTTGATTTGCAAATTTCGTTCCGGCAACTTCTATATTGAGGATACACCACCACACTTCAAAGGCATCTTGAAGCCGATGTGATTAAAATAAAGTCGGCGTTTAGAATTAATTTCAAAACTTCGTTTATTGCACGCGAGCCTCATGTTCTTACACAACGAAATTTGCATTCAACACTGCGATTTGCTTGTCACATGTTAAAGAAGTGATCCATTATTGACGCACATTGTGGTTGGTGACGAATAATGGGCTTACAGGAAACGCAAGAGATCCTGTTCGAAATAGGATGTACGAGCTCAAACCACTTCGCAGGCCGAAAGTCACCGAAAACTGTCTGTTTGTCTGTTTGATGGTATTTCAAATGAATCCTTTATGACATTTAATGCTGAAGCTGGAACCGACCAGAATTGATCAATAGAAAAGATGCAATGTTCCGCCAGGATAATGCGAAACATCATACAAATTTGTGACAGGTACTTGTTACGGGTCTTTCAGTTATTATTTTTATTTACTTCATAAAAGTTATAAGCTGTTTATCTCTCTTTCTATTTTGAAAGCTATTCTACAGAAAAACATTTACTTTGACTATTTGATATGGGATGGCGTTTCGCTACGACGCCTTGCTATTGGGAGGTTTCTTAGCTGCGCATGCTGCTCTATCTGTATACATATTATGACTGCGTCTTAGTTTTGGCCTGTCTTTGGTTAAATTTTGTAATACACTAAAAGTTAGGGACAGGGTCCCAGTTATGTATTAGGTAATTACTACCGTTCAAATTTGTAATAAAAACACAAAATTTTTGATAAGACATCTTAAAAATTTTAGATTTGTGAGATTTGAAATGAAAGATTTTTGTCCTTTTTGATATAGAGACGTTTTTGTTTGCATATAATTTATTATTAATACACCAAAAACACACAAAACTGATAGTTTTTTACAAAATATTCAAAGTATGAGTGTATGTGTCACAGTATTTAGTTATATTGCACAACCAGCTTGATTTAAATTTTTCTATTTCAAATATTATATAAAAAATTTCTAAAACATAATTTTGATTTACACAATTATTATTTGACTTCAGTTTGTTTCAATTTGTAATTTTCCTTGTAATAAAAAATTAAAAAAAAAAAATTAAAATGAGTTGAGTGTAATTTCATAATTTACCATTCACACGCTTCACTTTTTCCGTTTTCAATACGATGCGTCCGTGAATGTACTCGCCACTATTGTAGACCGCATCCATGCGGTCCAATTGAAAAGAACACATTGTGGGCATTTTTGAGCCAAGAATTCTTTCCAAAACCCGTGCAGAGTTCAAATAGAACGTTTCCGAAACATAGAATTTTTATTTTTGTTTTTTTTTTTTCACGCGCATCAACCGTTAGCAGCGTCTTTCAAACTTTTCCGTAATAAAAAAATTCGAACCGTGTTTTCAAAGACGTTGACAGTACAACAAGCGTTTTGTTGTCCTTTCTGCCTGCCAACATGTATGCTTAACCACGACTACGCGACTAAAGCTCTCTGCCAAATGAAGGTCTGACTAATGAACAACTTGGGTGCACACACACAGTTACAGTGTTTGCGGCGCGCATTGTGTTTGGTTGTTTACGGTCTCCATTCTGGCCCGTAGCGAATCAATAAGTTGGCGCCAGAATGCCTTCGACTTCGACAGCGAAAAGAAAACAACAACTAGCAGCACACAGCGTAGTGAGGATGTATAATAATGATTACAACAACAGTATGTTATGCCGTAGTCCAGCATCAATGCGTGGAGGAAGGAATTTGAGAGTTATCGCCTGCTCTACGCACACTTCAGCGCCAAACAGAGACTGAGAACTGCTTTGGGTGGCTGTATATGTGTGTGGGGGACTGTCAAGGCAACCGTGCTTTGTTTGAGTGCTCGCATAGTACCTTATAGCGAAAAATTGTAGTAACAAAACAAAAACAGCAATAGTGGCATTAGTTAACAGCAATCGGCGACAGCGTTTTACAACGCAGACTCATTTAGTCTGGCGATTTTTATGCGTTCAATGCCACTCCCGCTGGCAGTCATTCATAATGGTTGTTGCAATTGCTGAATGATTTCGCGATGCTGTTGCTATTGTGCGCTTCATTTTGCTTACGCTAAGTTTTATTGTTTTAAAATCGTTTTGTCTGCGCTATTTTTGGTGCGGGTGAGTGTCCGGTGTTTTATGGCATCACTTTCTAACTCTTTTTCACTTGCTTAACTGAGCTAAAATCGAACACACTCAATCTATAATGGAGTTTACTAGAATTTACTTGACGAATTGTAGACCGATCTTTTGTGATATTGGGTAACTCTTAACGATAGATCAGAACTCTCGTATGCGCATGTAGCACATGCGAAATCTACTGAGATAATAGAACCCCCAAATTTTTCCAATATCAGCACTTAATTTCTATGCTCCAGTTTACATATGTATATATTTAATGAGCTCTCTCTCGTTGCTTTCTGGATCTTAAAAACTTGCTGGACGAACTTAACTAACTCAGTTCAGGGTTTGATAAAGCCCTCAAAACCAAACCATCAAATATTAGCTCTAAGTTTTAATGGCAATCCCGTTTTATGCGATTGGAACATTATATTCGGTACATTTCGGGATTCTCACACTATTTTACAATCTTCATATAACCACTACCACATTATCAAGTTTAAGTATCAATGTGCGGTGCCATAATGCGTTTTATGCCTACTTTGGTCTACTTTTAGGCGTAAAGTGATGTCACAGGCATATAAACAACGCAACGTGGTGGACGTTAAGTCCTTTATAAAGACAAATGTGTTTGTTTATGTGCTGCTAATGGCTTATAATACAATATTATTTATGTAAATATGATTTGATTGTATTTCTTAGCGAAATATCAATTCTTTGGCATGAGTAGAGATGAGGTTGCACATTTGAAATGGAGTGAAGCGCGTTCATTTGGTATTGTTTGATTTTCTGCTAATGAATCCATTTGAACACTATTTCTTTCACTTTGTTATTATTAAGATCTGCTAAGCCAACAAAGTTAAATTGGTGATTAAATATCAAAGTCAATAAAATATTTTGAGTGAGAATTATTTTTTCTTTATTAAAGTAAATATTAATAACATTGTCTACATTTACTTTGATTAAAACACCATTAACATATAAGTAATATAAATGACAAAGTGTTAGAAAAATGTATTTAAGTTTTTGTTTGAAACTTTTCTTAAATGCTTGTTATCTCGATATCTCGTTGTCTCTTGTTGGACAATTACTATGCTAAAGTTTTTGTTGTACAGATATCTGCAGCACAAGACTCTTGCTCGCAATTATGTGTTGCAGCCTGTGTCTGCAATGCGTTGACAGATGTCGAAAAAGTATTCAAAAGCAACATCGAAGCATAATCCGGCAGGTAATAGAACAAATCGGCACCCTTTCCACAACTTTCATTTGGTTTATCACATATTAATTCATCAGTTGCTGAAAGCAAAATAAAGAAAATTGTATTGAAACATTTTTTGAGCTGCTCTTTAAATAATAAAAAATGTAATTGAAAAAGCTTTTATTATTATTTTATGCTAAAAGGCTATAATAGAATATATTTTCTAAGGAATTTTATTTTCCAAAATTTTGTAAAAATTCAATTATTACTCGCACCCACCCAAATTATCGTAACAGTGGTACTGCTCTAAGTCCTCCACGCATTGCTGCACACTGCTAAGCCGCATGCTTTTCGGTGGCACCGTACCAAGTACAATCGGTATAATCAACTTCTGCAAAATGCGCTTTTTCTTAAAGAGCATTGCCTCAATATGATAACTTGCATGTATGAGGCTCTTTTCACTGCCGTCCCGACAAATGTGCGCCGCTAATGGTATACTCAATTGGCCGGATACCATGACGTATGATGAACTTATCTTATGTGCATTACTATTTAATATTTTGAGGTATTCTTTGCACTTTGCTTGCGGTTTCGAGGCACGAAATATGGTATGCTGACACAGATTCACATACAACTTATTGCAGGCGGCAAATTTATGCTGGCCGCACAGTGTGAAGGCAATACTCTGACCCGGCACATAGCCAGTGCCTGTGGGTAAGGTGAAGCACAGTGGCGCGTGAGCGTCTGATGTCGGCGCGTTGGCGGCAGTCAGTGTGTGGGGCTGTTGGTTGAAAAATGTATATAAGGAAATAGTTATTTGCATCTCTCTTCATTAGCGGTTACCGTGTATTTTCTACCTACCTCACTCAACTCTACCGCCGCGCTCAAATCCACGCGGTTTTTTACTGTTATGCGCGCCTTGAAAACTTTATCGGACACCGATTTGCATTGCAACGTTAAACGTACGTAATAAACACGCTCACCATACCTCATATCACAGCTGGCTGGCGCTTCGTAAGGCAAGTCGAAGCTGAAATGCTGCACACACACTTCAGCCGCTTGTAAGCTTGTACGCTCCGTAAGTGTATGTGACCCATATAAGCGCTCCTGTTTGTCGCTGTACAGCACTTTGTTGTCCTTTTCAGTGCTGTCATTGTGCAGCAGCAAGGCCTCCCTGTTTCTCTCCAGCCACTGTACATGCTCAGTGCCAACCAAAGCTATTTGTATGCCTGTGAAAATGAGTGAACACAAAAAAAAACACAAAAGCTTGCGTAAATAAAGCAGCTGTATTCAGAAATATGTGTCTTAATGTGCTAAAACAAATCAGTTGTCTTGATGTTTTATCACATTTTACTAATAAAATGCACAAATGTTTATCTGTACGATTTTAACTTGTTGCTTGTTATCACTTCGTATTTATTTTTATAATTTTCTGTTTGTTTTACGATTTAACGATTTGCGGGTGGCCTTTGAAAAAGCAAATTTTTGCAAAGTGCTAATTAATTGCTTTTAAAAGCAATTAACGTTTATCTAATCGTATGGATAACAACTTTTATTCTTAAGCTTTATTTACAAGCGTATGAAATTTTGGCAGAATGCACTTCAGACTTTGAAAAAGATTCCTGGGGACTGTTAAAATACATATGTATATACATCACAAATAGATGCATAATATAAGCAACTTACTACTATGAGCAAAAAACAGTAAGACATTGTTGTATGTAATTTTAAATGTCGGTCCCCTCAAAGTAATCCCCCTTGATACCAATACACTTGTGAAAACGTTGTTTCCAATCCTCGAAACAGTTCATAAAGTCTATTTCTGAAATAGCCCTTAATGCATATAGGGTGAATCACGACTAATGTCTTCAATTGACTCACAATGATTTCCGCGGTATGATTGTTTGAATTTGCTGAAAAACCAGAAATCACACTGAGCTAAATCAAGCGTATATGGTGGTTGCGGCACGATTTGGTTGAAAATTTGTCGAAAAACTTCCGAAGAAGCAATGCAGAATATGACGTTTTCCTTGCTGACAATTTGGCCACTCGGAGGGAATTCGGAGTGCATCATACCTCGATATATACACAGCATTGATTCTTCACCTGCTTTGACGTCTGTTTCCGGATAGAAAACATTGAACCAAGACTCATCGCCAGTAATAAGACATTTTCAAAAGTTGTTTATGAAAAAATTCTCACTCAATGCAAGTCTAGTATTGGCACGAACCAGCGATAAGAAATACTTTAAGCTACATCGAGTTTATAAACAGGGATCTTTTTAGAACATTTTTCGGAATTTTGCCATTGGCTACGAAAACTCAATATTAAGAGGTATTCTAGTCTAAAAATTTGAAAAAATCTAAAATTTTTTCTTTCCATAATTGGATAGTTTTGATATTCAAAAATATGTCCCTAAAAGGTTTTTTTTTTTCAAATTACTCAAATTACTTTCAAAGTTATAACTATTTTTGTGACGTGGCAACTGGACCGGTTGAGCGAACTATCTATCTATCTATTACGCTGCCCGAAACTTAACGTGAAACTTGCAACGCTTTTTTCTCAAATCTCCTTTTTTTGATGCGGTAGCCACAATATCTCAAGTTTTAATCAGTCGATTTATTTGAAATTTGGCACAAATATTCTTTAAATATATCTCTATCACTAGAAGTAACATAAAATAAAAATTTGAAATTTATAATATTAAAAAAAAAAATCGACAAAGTTGAAAAATTATTGAAAAAATCGACCTTTTTTTTTTTTTTTTTTGAGTAGCCGCCATTTTATGAATTTTTTTTTTCGTTTTGCTGCTTCATAACATAGCGACATTCGTACTCATTAAGTATCTGTCATTGTTTTAATTTTCAGATGACGACAAGGATAGACCATGGCGATGAGGACACGGCCTCTTTTCCCCCGTTTTCTTCAACTAGATGAAAAAAAAAATTTTTTTTATTATTTTTTTAATTTGTGTACTCTTCTTAGTTTAATGAACAAATGATAAACCTAAAACGAATAATAAAAATATCTAGTGCTTCTTTTTTATTAATTGTTGAAAAAAGCTCGAACACTAGAATACCCCTTTAAACATACGTATAAAGTGTTCAAACGCAATCGAACATTAGCAGCTACACAATGAGCTGTATTTAACCTAAAAAATGCATCCGCCATAATTTCAGTTAGTGTAATGATATTATTCAGTAATCATTTAACAAACAAATGCTTTTAATAATTATATTATACGCTAATTGCTAATTAGTGTTAATGTTATATAAATTATATAAAATTATCTCTGCTGTTAATTAGCACCGAGCAGGAAAAATTGTTCTTATTATATTTACATTACATTATTTGTTGTCATTTGCTCATACATTCATACCGTAAATGTCTAAATATTACTAGCAAATAAAGCATTTGTTTCACCTGGGTTTGCAAAAAAATCATTCCATTCGCTGGCTGTGTTTTAGTTATACTTTTTTCATCAAAGTATTGGTATGCCAAATACACAATAAAGTTATGCAGCTAAACTCATAATTTGGTATCACTCTACTCTAGTTTATCTTTTGGCGTGTTCGATTCAACATTTCTCTACAGGCTCTTGCAGTATTGTCCACAAAATTATATGTTACATGCAGAAACAAAAAAAGTTAACGAGCTTATTTCGCAAAAGATACCTCATTAAAGTGGTACAGCAGCTATCTTCGATGCTACCAATCTTTGTTTTGCATATTTTGGATCAGATTATCTATCATGAAAAGTTTAACTTACAAATGAAAATACAAATTTATTTTTTTTCGCGGAGTATTAATATTAATTAAAAATTTGACGCATGCCACTTGTTTCTTAGAGCATCGGTATAGTTAGTTCGATTCACTGAAAAGCGCCACTAGGCGAATCGAAGTCAGCTTTTATTTAACTAAGTCTCTTTGCCTAATAGAAATTTCTTAGGTCAATTCACTACTTCCTTGTTCGCTATCAACAAAATGTAGTGATGGCTGCCTTATTAAGGGCTATGGTCACTGTAGCGGTTATAAAATCATGTCCAGTCTCTAATTATTTTTCGCAGAATTTATTTTATTCGCAGAATAAATGAAACAGTTTTAAAGTTTGTACCTCAATCTACTGACAAATTATCTCTTTTCCGTTAATTTTGTAGAATATAATAAAAAAATGGTGAGATGTCTCTTTGATTTCTTTAAGCGTGCCGCGATTAAGACATAAATGTAAACACTTGTCGTCTTGAAACAAATAAAGAAGCAAACACAAACGTCGTTAATCTACATGAGAATGCCCATAGAAATATGTAGGTAGAGAAATTTGAAATGTTGACTCTCTTCAAAACTACAGACACTTAAACAGAAAAAAATATATAATTTTTTCAATAATAATAATAATATTATCTTTCGGTAGCTTTACTTATTATATGTAATTTCTATCAAATTTATCACATTGAACAAGAAATTCATATTTTTAATATTCGTATTTTTTTCTTTCGATTCTTTTCGAAAAAAAGATATCTTAAATATCAATGATAAAATTTTCAACTTTTGGAAAAATTACCTTCATTTGTGTTCAGGAAGAAAACTATTTCATTAAAAGGTAATAATATTTATTCGATAGTATTAAGTTTTGGGCAAGACAAAATATCTCCTGTCATCAAACAAACAGTCGTCGCACTCGCGACTTGGCACTCACGTCACAGTTGACAGTCATAGCTTTGAAGTTGTAGATAATTTCGTCTATCTTGGAACCAGCGTAAACACCACCAACAATGTCAGCCTAGAAATCCAACGCAGGATAACTCTTGCCAACAGGTGCTATTTCGGAGTGTACGCAATTGAGAAGCAAAGTCCTCTCTCGACAAACAAAAACCAAACTCTATAAGTCACTCRTAATTCCCGTCCTGCTATATGGTACAAAGGCTTAGACGATGACAACAACGGATGAGTCGACGTTGCGAGTTTTCGAGAGAAAAGTTCTGCGAAAAATTTATGGTTCTTTGCGCGTTCGCCACGGCGAATATCGCATTCGATGGAATGATGAGCTGTACGAGATATACGACGACATTGACATAGTTCAGCGAATTAAAAGACAGCGGCTACGCTGGCTAGGTCATGTTGTCCGGATGAACGAAAACGCTCCAGCTCTGAAAGTATTCGACGCAGTACCCGCCGGGGGAAGCAGAGGAAGAGGAAGACCTCCACTCCGTTGGAAGGACCAAGTGGAGAAGGACCTGGCTTCACTTGGAATATCTAATTGGCGCCACGTAGCGAAAAGAAGAAACGACTGGCGCGCTGTTGTTAACTCGGCTATAATCGCGTAAGCGGTGTCTACGCCAATCAAGAAGAAGAAGATTAAGTTTTGGGTAGTCGAAAAAGTCTTTTCATATTTCTAATCAATCTTTAACTTATTTTTTTTTTTTTTAACAAAGAAATATGTACCATATATAGCGAATTTCTTCATTATATTCACTCATTTTTTAAATCAGCTGTACCTTTTTTCAACTTCCCCGAATTTAATTTTCAATGAAAATGAAGTTGAGATTTTACTCATCTTTCCAACACTATGGTATATGGTATGGCACAATGTGATTGGAAGCACCAACGATATGAAAAGGCTTTTCCGACTACCTTCTGTTATATTAACGATTTTTTCTTAGCTTTCTAATGGAATATACTGTGAATTTATTCCACTTTTATATAAATAAATATATATTTTTTTTTTTTCAGTTTGCAACTATTGTTCCATTGTATTGTTATTTCATAATTTTGAATGCATAAACGTGGTTTTTAACTGCATGAGCATGTACCTAGATATTTTTTTAAATTGTATGCCATAATCTGGAGTATTAAAAATATTCCTCCAACCAAATGAGTTATGTCTATATAACATCTACTTTTACCAGGCAACGGGAAATGCTCACCTTCGATAGCCAGCAATTTTGTGCTGCTCAATACAATGAGCCCGCTTATTTGCTCGCCACTGTAGTAAATCGGCGTAGTGCGCGAAAATTTGAATTGGCAAGTCGTTGGCATACTTGCGTGTAGGTTTTTACTTTTTTTTTTTTATTAATCCCAGCCACTCGTTATAGACATCAATAATTATTTAAATTTTTATTAACCGAGCGAATTTGTACCATTAGAATGTGTTGTTGTTGTGTTGGACGAAAATATTTTTATGACAATTATTTATTGTATTGTATATGCTATTTATTGGCTTTCAGCGTGACTTTGTTGTTATTATTGTTTTTTTTTTTCTAATTTTTAAGCACTTTGAATCACGTCAAAGCAATTGGAATCAGCTACGTTGTAATTCACTTAATACGGTAGACGATTGTGCTGCGATGCGATGAGCCGCCGTCTACGCCGCAGAATTCTACAAATCGTGCAAGCATACGATTTTTAATATTTATTATTTATTTATACATGATTGGAAATGAATGTGCTCACTTTGAATGAAAAAATCTGCAACCAGTTATTATTCCGTTGTTGGATTATTCCAACAGGCACTGCACGGCACTTGGGCGCAACTGAGGCGTTGGTTGATAGCACACAGCGCTGGTGATGCCGGTTTGGCCCTCAGCAGCGCGGCGCTACGGCCGATCGGGAGCGCGTCGCAGCTAATCAAAACTTGCACTCGCAACTCAACATGTTCGCTATTATCTGTGCTTGTTCATAAGTATATACACACATGCATACATATTTATGTTCATGTCACGCGAGTCAGTTGCCATTAGACGCTTCCACATTTCGCTCTACTGATATCAAACGGGCGACTATTTTGTGTGGAGGTTTTGCGATTTTCGGTGAATTTGATGTTGCGCTTATCGCCGTGGCTGCTAGACGAGCACTACTTCGGGTTTTGATCCGCGCTTGACGGTTGTTGGTGGCGCGTGCGGTGGCCAACAGCTTCGCATGACCGCTTGAAACTGCTGCAGGAAATATGCAATTGAGTCAACTCGAGTACATAGGAAGAAAAACAGCTGTGCTACTAATTGTTTACTGTTTATTATATACATATCTAGATATACACATATATTTGTATATGTATAGCTGCGCTGCTATTTTTTTATGGCGCAGTGTACAAATAAACTTATTGGTATCCATTTATTATGACATTATCTTTCGGAAGCAAAGAGCTTTGATTTGAAGTCAGTTAACGATATGTAAACAAACGCTCAAGCATATATGTACGTACAAGTTTGTTGATATACATACATATGTATATATGTATGTAAATATATATGCATGTGCATATGGTTTGAATTGATTTACGTAGAAACGTGTTTCTAACATATTGTGGACTGCTCGGCAAATTCTAACCAAAATACAATTTTGTATAACAACAAATGCACTGCAAATATAAGCAAAATTTATAATTGGTAAGCGGCGGTAAAGTCTGGATGTATATAAATATTAAATAGGTATATGCATAGTATGCATGCACTAGATGTGATTCTTACCTGTCGAACTTTTGCTGAGTCAATTTCCATTAATTTGCCTAAAGTCTTCTATCATGTCCTACCCCTTCCAAGCTTGTGAATCTATCCGCACTTACAGTCGTAGGAAATTGAGATGCTTAATGTTCTTTGTACAACATCTGCAGGTTTAGTTTGTAGTTCATTACTCTTAGCTGAGGTAAACTTAAATGTTCCAGCTCGCTGCTCAAGAGAGTTTAGACCACAGTTCTAGAATAGTCCTAGGTTAATTAAAGTAAAATTATACTATTATATAATACCTATAGTACATTCTTCAATAAAACCGGCTTATAAGCGTAATTTTGCAATATCAGCTGTTCATGTCTTTTGCGTAGTTTTAGATCCCGAGGCTTAGCAAATTCTCTTCTCTTATGACGCGACGCCCGAATAGCGCCTTTCACTTTTGATAGGCGAAAAGAGTAGCATATTTGGGCCTTATAATGAGCTTCGTTGAATTTTTTCTTCCTATTCATGGAACCTTTTATCAGTTCTGCTTCATATCTGGAGATAATCGCGCCAGCTAAAATTTATTTCTTTAGTACTTAACTCTTTTTTCGTTCAAAAAAAAAAAATCGTTTTTTATTAAAAACAGCTTACCACGATAATGCTTTTTTTTAAGTAAAAGTGAACAGTAACTCAAAACTGACTGTTTTTTAACTAGTATTAAGTTCCGATTTCAAATCCTCGCAATTTCAGCTGCGAAATAAACACTATCTTTATTCATTTTAATATCTTTCAAATTTTATTTGAGGAAAAAAGTGTGGAAATGCACATTTAAAGGCTTAATAAATAACATTTACTATATAAATAATTAGGGAGACTTTTCGGGAAAGTGTTTGTTGTATGCTTCAAACTTTATTTATATTATATAGGCATGTATCTTTTACCTAAGCGATAAGTATATATTTATATTTAAATATATTTTTTTAGGAATTGCTTAATTTTAAAAACTTATTCGATATATTGATTTGTAAATTTGAAAATAATATTTAGCCTAAAAGTATAATATACATTAGTAATATAGACAAATATTTTTGCTAAATTTTCTTATATAATATTTGGTGTTGGATTGCTGTAGAGACAATTTAGGATGATCGACAAAAAATGATGACGAGTCCAATATGTTATATTTTAAGCATTTACAAAAGAGTTTTTCACAATTTGGTTGCAAGAATTTTTTAGTTTGTTTATATATTTTGCAGCTCTAAAATATTCACTTAATAATAATGGAATATAAATTTTACTTTCAAAAAATAAAAATCATTTGCAATAGTAAAGGTTGTTAACTTTTAATAGAGAATTATGTATTTCGCGTTTTTGTCAACCAATTTTTACTCCAGCGCGTTGCTTCTTTGCTGGCCGATAATGGGTGAAACATTTACAGTATATATGTTGCTGTGATGATAGCAGTGCTGAGATGAGCTTACATTAAAATATTTAACTGTGCCTTACGCTATCTAAACCGCAATATATCTGTTTGCGCGGATAACGAGGAATCCGCCTACAATGTTGCTAATAAAAATTTAATCGTATTCACACAGAGTAATTATGGGCTACACATCGAAGACGCTTATGTGGTTTATAAGGTTTACTGTGCGCTATTACTTGTATTTCTGCTGTTAATAAATTCACGTAATTGATTTCAAGTTTCACGTTTTTCACACAAAATATATGTGCTTACAAAATATTTTATGAATAATTTATTTCTATAATGCAAATTTTGATTTTAAACGTTACACAGTTATATTTCATTGATATTACATTATCTTTCACAGCGGCTGCCATGACTCAATGTAAAGTCCTAGAATCGAGTCATGTTCATGATTGATCGAAATTATAGAGGAATGGAACCGGTCACAAACATTTTCTGTTTATTTGTGAATAACCAAGCGCCTGTCATACAAGGTAGAGCTACTCTTGCCTTAACAAGCGTAAAGTTGTCTATGTATTGCGCAAAGTACGTTGAATTTGAAGCAGCAAAAAGTAAACAACGTAACTAAATCATTTAGTAGCAAGATTAGAAAGTAAATCCAAACAAATATCTACCTCACAGTTGTGAAAGCAATTCGTCACTACAAACTCACTTCAGTTGAACTCAAAACAACTCAACTTTCACACAACTAAGGTATTTAACATTGCTAATTACAACTGTTATGAGTTGAAGTTGTATTGTAGAAATGTCAATAATTTGGACCATTAATTGCATTGGAAGTTTCTTCACACACAGAAGATTTTTCCGAACATGTTTAACGCGAAGTTTCTCCTAATTTAATTTCAACTGTTTCGCAGTTATAGACATATACTTATGCATATTAAAATAAATTCAAGAGTTCACAAAAAGTGTAATATTCTCTCAATAGTTATATTCATATCTATAGCCAATGACTTGTTGTCTTGGTAGACGGCTACAAATCTGCTACTTAAGGAGTTAAAGTGCCCTCAAATTAGTATCGCTGCTTATAGAGTATTTGTATATTTGTTAATCTTTATTTGTTGTAATATTTTTCAGTTATCTAATAGCTATTTAACTATATTAAACTATTTTATGAGTACTAAAGCTTTTACAGTGTGTCTTGCTGTGAATGTGCGCGTGTTCGTACGATTACATGTGGTTGCTGGCACATATTATATCATAATTGTTTAAGTACAAGAGAAGTGTGTAAGCATTATTACCATTAAACATATACACATTTATTTATAAGAAATTCCCTTATTTCAGTTAGTACAAAATATGCATTTACGACTAAAATTTGTCAAATTTCACTTTGCCACTTTAAGAGACAAAATTTGGTATTGAAAAGGAGCATAATGAAACAAGATCGATTTTCGTATGTATAAATACAAATATACAAGTAAAAGTGTGATAAAAATCGTAAATTTCCTGCAGTGAAGTAACAAACTATTTGTACAAGTCCATGTGACCATCAAAATACTAACTGGTTGGAATGTGACTAGTAGCAAACCACCAGGTTTTAAAAGTAACTACTAAATAATATATTGTTTTGCAATCAAAAATTTCAGACCGAAAATGAACCAGTCAGAAAAAGACAGAATATAACCATTCTTGGCATATATATATTGGGTAGTCGAAAAAGTCTTTTCGTATTTTGATTTATATTGATATTAGATTAAAATCGCAATATTCTATATAAAATAAAATAGCTTAGAACTATAAATATGTTTTTAATTGAAAATCGGCTACTTCAATAAATTATATTGTTATCCAATTAAATTATATTTCAAGATCACGTGGAGTAAAAAATATTGTTAACACAAAATGGTCGAATAATAGGTTCAGTCGTATTTATCAGATGGCTAAGAACTAGTAATTAATTTCACTGCAGGCATGTTACATGATTTTAATTCCATTAGTTAAGCTTATAAAGTTTATTATTATTTATATCAAATAAGTATTTACATTATTTCTTCTCCTTACGAAATGCATTGAAACTGGCGGCACTAAGCGGTTGATGTGGTGAGTCGGTCGAATCCGAAGACTGTAACTCGATACGCAGTTGCGAGGGCGACTCATCGTAGAGTGTTTCTAATTGAAGCGTTTAGAGTAGTATAAGTAGAAGTTGTCGTTCGTATATACAGTGGGCGCATGAGGGACAGAGACAGTGGGAATATTAGCGAGGATTGTTTTGCAATTGGAAGCACAGTTGGAGTGTTGCGCATGGCGAGGTTGTTGATGAGCGATTATTTACGTGTTTGATGGATGATGCGGAGAAAGTAAAGGAAGACGAAAGACAGATTAGCATTTATTTATCTATGAATTTCTAAACTTAGTTATTTGTAAGTAAAAAATACTTGTGCTAAAAACGAAAAACAAAACACATTGCTGGTGAGTCTAAACAAAGTCTAAGATCACTTCATATTCAAAAAGTTGTACTTGTGTATCTTAAACTGCTAGCATTAATATTCAGTAATTATTATTTAAGAAATTTCGAATTATGAGGAATTTATTTTGATAAGTTTATTGGAATAATATATTAAACATGTAAATAAGTAATTAAAAATTAGTGATTTTAATGCGATCTTAGTTTATTGTCAAGTAATATCTACTAAATAATGAAATATGCAAGCTTAGAACGCTGTTTTTCTCATAATTAAAATGTATTTCTCTAAAAAAAATATTATAATAAATTTATATGCATGCGTCAATGTTGCCACTTTATTATGAATTTTGCGAAAGATAAAATAAATATAAATTATGTTTTTCAATTCGACATATATTTTCGATGCGAGTTAAACTGAGAAAATAATACTTTCAGCCCTTTTAATCAGAAGTTTTTAACCCAGTTTCAGTCCTGTACATACATATTTGTTACAATTCTTTGCATGTTATACAAATAAAGTTTTCTTTCTAGTTGTGTATGCAGGAAGGAAAAATTTCGGAGTTCGTTTAGAGTAACGCCCACAGAAAGATGTTGTTTCTAGTACCTATAAATCCGTATCAAGCAATCTAGATACCAATTAGTATAGAAAAATTGAAAGGGTAAGGCCGAATACAGCCGACTCCAGTGGTCATTACTATCAAATTCCCTCTTGAAAATATTTATAGTTCTGTTATAGTTCATAGTATGTTCATAAATATTTGTTTAGCCGTGGTTTTGTTGCGCAAAGATTACTAAATATGTACCTAAATGGTATGTATTAAGGCATAGTTTCGCTCTTTTATTAAATACTTTATAATAAAGATTAGAATTATGATTATATTAAGTGCTGAGTAAACTTTCTTGCGTTTTACAAAAAAAAAAAAACAAAAATATAATAATATTTTTTGTTTTTAATTTGTTGAACTGATAGCATTTAACGTCATATTTTCAGTTAGCTGCTAAATATTATTATTATTAAGGGATGCTTTTCTAATTTATTAGTTGAAATAAGGATGTTTTAATGCCAGTTAGTGAAACTTCAATTCCAATATCTTTAGCTATTTCATATTGAAGTTCAAAATAAGTTTAAAGATATTCTAGATTACTGTTAATTAGTTTGTATTTATATGCTTTGTGTTAATAAAGATCCACCAAGTAATACATATATTGTATTTATGTTAATAAATTATGCTTGAGATTATGACTATATTGATGATTGCATATATTTACGTTATGATTGTTTGATTGCTTAATATTTTAGAGTTAAAACTTTCGGCAGGCACACATACAAGCAGTCAGGCGTAACACAGTTGGCAGACATTGTGTCGAAAGCTTAGATTATTATTAAAAAAAAAAAAAAAAAAACAAGAAACGAAGTGCATTTTAAATAATTTTGATACCTAGTGGCTACAAACACATACTTAAAGTAAAAAATTACATCAAATTATACATATATATTATAAGTTATATAATTAATTATTAATTTAATTTATTTGCACGTGCAACTAAGTATTAAAATTATTTTTTATGTTTAGAAATTTAAGAAATTTTCATAAACCGTTTTAATTTAGAAAAATCCTAGCTTAATATCTCAAAAAATCTTATAATGTATGCAAAAAATATTTAAATTTTTACCAACAAAAAAAAAAACAATTTAAATTAAAAGTTTTGCATTCCCACATTCTCAATACTTAAGTTCGATCGAAAGAACATTAACAAATTAAATTTCAAGTAAATTTTATTAAAAATTATGGCCTAAACTGAAAATTAGTTTTTTTATTTTTTTGCTTTGTACTCCAATCTTTCAATTCTAAATATCGGAGGTAGAATCATCACTACCGGGCGGTATGATTGGCGTCTCGTACTCATAGTAGACGGGATAGCGTGGCTTGAACGACTCGGTCGTTTCATTGGAAACAATACTACTTAAGCTGACATTTTGCAAATATTCGCTGTCATCACAGAATTTATCACTTAACGCCATGGCATCTTCATACGAAGGCGGCACTGTAAGAGAGCAAAATTTAAGAATGTCACCCAATGAAATATGTTTCAATTAAACGCACTCATGAGTTTGTAATCGGGCGGATTGTCACCATCGGTTATAACCAGCGTGGGTATATCGCTTCGGCCAACATTCGACGCAGCTTCAGCATCATTACTCTCTTGCGGTGCTTCACCAGCAGCCTCTTCACCACCAACAACTGTTGACTGCTCCGCGCTCTCATTTGCACTTTGCCCAAACAGTCTACGTCCGCTGTAATAGCCACGTCTAACGGCATACTGGGTTCCTAGTAAAGTTGGCAAGCCAGCCACTGCTGCCATGCTATCTATAATCGGTATGCTCCCAATGGTTAACGGTATTTTTAGTTTCATCTTCCAATGGAAATCCGTTGGCTTAATTATAATCTTGATTAGATAAGTGATATTAATGGGGCATACAACTTTCAACGATGACGGCGGTATGGAGGGTAAACTGAGATATCCACGATAAACTTTACGACTCCAACGCAAAACATTACCGAATTGTTTGCGTGCGATGAGGTGTTTATCATAACGATATTCATGCTGTGGATCATGCGATTCGTAGCTGACTTCTTGCTTCAGTTTGACCTCACAGTCCGTGATATCAATGGACGATTCGTTGTTAATGTAAAGGACGAAATGAATTTTTTGGCCGGGTGCGTAGCCGCAATAGGGTGTGGAGAATTTCACAGTCAACGGTCCTGTGGGACAGCAAAAGCTCCAGAATCGTTTGCGATCGAGGATTTCGAGAGGGACCTATGTTTCAAATAAGTGATTTTAATAAGGTTTAAATGCAATACTATCTACACTGCGTTTTAAGCCCACTCACCCTGTAAATCGTGTCCAAATTCAAATCTAACGGCTGTATTACCGTAAATGGCAACTTGAAGACTTTAGGATATCGGGCTGGCCGATCGATTGTGGTGATAATCTCATAATGTATCTGCCCATATTTGCCGTCGAATGAAGTGGGCAGATTATCTGGCAGTATTACGTGAAACGTATACGAGTAATCGCCGGCCGACCAGTCCATGCACGAACTGCTCGCACACGATCCGAGCACATACGAACGCGACGATAGATATGAGCGGTAAGCGCGGCACATCGCACGCTCGCTATCGCGCGGATAACCCTTTTTTATCCAGCGTATCTTCGCATAGCCGCTAACTGTGATGTGTATTGCTGGAATACATTGCAAAATTAAAGATTGTTTATAAAATTATGGCGTTAATATGTTGTAGTGTATATAGTGAAGATATTCACGGTCGGTTGCTGGGACTTAAGCTTTATTCAATTGATGTCAGCCTCGATGGAAGATAGAGAAAGAATCATAAATGTGCTAATTTTAAATAAATATGGCGGCCTTCAATTCATTTGAGCCATAATAAATCCTATCAGGCAAACCAATTATGACTCCTAAAATACTTTTATTTTTTTCCGAGTTGCATCTTGAAATGAAGAGTTTTAATAATTTTTTTGATATTATTGGCAGAAAATATTGGGCACGTGCCAGCCTGTTTAGGCAATCAACATGCCAACTGACTCATACCAACAAAGTAGACAACCTGTCTGAGTAGCTTGCCTTACGAAATTCATTTGATACAAAGGCTTAATATAAAACATGGCGTACTATTTCAAAAACGTAGCAGCGAATTTCAAGAATAGTGCACAAATTGAATTTATCATGCACAGCAATTACATTAACGTTGTCCAGCAGAGCACCGTTGATATGTATGTATTTATATATGAGCTATCCAGTCTCTCGCCGTGAATGTTCTCTATACAGAGTGCTCAGAAAGTTACTCTTTCATTATATTATGTTGGAAGTCAAGTTTTTAGTAAAATTACTTTTAAAAGATACTAGCCTTGAACTTATAAACAGTGCAGTTCAGTTTTGGACAAAGAGAGCCCAATCTCGTTATCAATAGCATCAAGTCTCTTTTTGATAGACATTGTCATTGCCCTATTGACGTTCATGCAGTAAGACTGGGAATCTTACCAAACGTCATCTGCAGAAACAACTCAACACTCCTTGTTGACTATCCCGTGTATGGGAGCACATACCTTCACATTACAGACATCTCACCGAGTTGGCGGGAATGGAAATTAAACGCCTGTGCAAATTTGTATTGGCAACTAAGCGTTTCGCTAATGGATAAGTTCGAACACAAGAGTTCTTTTTTTCGGTGCGATCTCTTTAAATCAGCCATATAACTCAGGCTATATTACAATGTTTTTTCATTATTAAATGATTTGCTTTAATCATAGTAATCTTATATAAAAAAAAAAAAAATCAGCCGAAAGCCTTTGATGCTAGCGCTGCGTACTTTAGTTTATTTAATAATTTGTTTATTATGTAAGCTTTAATAAAATAAAAAAAAATATATATATAAAAAATTTATTTGTTTAATTAAAAAAAAGCAAGTGTGGCAACCCTTCTCCTAAAATTAAACTGCTCAAACAGGTGACAATGCTCACAAAATATTTTAGAGTGTGTKTKTTTTTTTTTTTTTTTTTTTTTTTTTGTTTTGGGAATTTTCTGAATTTGTAATTATTTATATTGGTTCAGCCTTTCGGTGGGTTGCACGAATATGAAGCCATTTTTAATAAGAAATAAATTAGTTGCGTGAAATTTTGTTTTGAAAAATAAATCTCTTATTCGTTTATATAAATTGGCCAAATGGATCGCCCTTTATATTCAAAGCTTCATAACATATATATATAATATAAATATATGTATATAATGGTGCTATATTTCCATGGAATGTACACATCCATTTTCACAAAACTATAATTTCTGCAAACAAATGAATGTTTAGCATGTACAAACAAGGAACAAGTCGTTAGCTGTCACAAAAGTATATGCCTGATATATATGTATGTATGTGCAATTGTATTGTGGTAAATGCCGCGACAATACTGTGTCGTCATCCTCAAACACTAAGTCTAAGGATATACTACGTTGAGAATGTTGCTGCACATGGCATGTGTAAATACAGAAAAATTGCGGTTATTTCTGATAATATGCCAAGCCCCTGCTGTACATCCACCTAAATGAAGGATGAAAAGTTATATATTGTAGTACTTAGGAGAAATAATTTTCAGTTTAATATGTGTGTGATCTTATTTTGCTAGTAAGTGATGAAATATATTCTGCTCAGTAATTATTCATGGCTATCGTTTGCCAGGAACAAATATTTCATTATATTCTCTTCATTTCATTCTTCTTCAGATAAACAAGAAAAACGTTAATTTCGATCATATGCTAAAGTAACACAATCAAAATAATTTAGTTGGAGGTTGCGTTATTGGGTGTTACAAACATCCCGGTAAGCTTAAGTTCAGGGTATAACTATACTTAGGTATAGAAGTATATACTTCTAGGATATGCTCTATGTATATCGATATGTTATATGAAGATGAACAGACTACGGAAACCACTCATAACTAGTCCTGAGATATTGGAACGCCAAAAATAAACCATTAACTCTCAAATATTTTAGACGGTACCCTTTTAGTTAAAGTATTTCTCTATCTAAAAATTATAAAATCCCTATAAAAATCACCAAATTTTTATTTTCTGCATTAGGCGGCGTTTGTGATAAGCCTGAACACTATTGAAGCTATCTGGAATATATTTTTATTCAAAATCTATGCCCATTCAATAAAGAAATCCTTACTTCTGACGGATCTATTGGAAGGTTGCTCCCGATGTTACTTATTATCACTTTTCATTCTGTAATAAAAGTAGGTCACTTATATATCTATTGAATATATCGCTCTCGCTTCCCTGAATTGACACATTGCCATCCTCATGCGGTGCTAGTGGCACTAAGTAATCGCTTAAGCCCCAGATGCTCCCGCCAGAGCTTCAATCATTTAATAAATATAATATTGTCATTAGTTTCAAATGTAGTCGCTATTTCTCCATTTAATTACAGCCATAATTCTGCAAGTTCATATTCAGTGGGGGGTGTGCGCCCACTCCAACAACCGTACATATGTACAAATGAATGTAAATTGGGGCCAATGACCATTTACCAACTCCCACACATTTCACATGAAAACTAAAAATAATGACGTAATTGCCTTGCGCTTTGCCAGCAATAAACTACAAATGCAAGCAACAGAACGCATCCTCGGCTTGAGCTGGGTCAGGTCATTTATTTAGCGCCAAGCGATAGTTGTTGGCAGAAAGGCGAGCAACATGGCGCGACACAACACGAAAGGAATGCCAGAAGCGATTACATCGGCGACAGCGACAACGTGCACATATACGTACATATAAAGATATACATATAACAGTCTGTTACTTAGATGAATATGAATAGCTATGAGCATGAATTAATAATTGTCCCCCGAGTGTCGCTAACTGAGTTATAAATATTTATACTAACTACATTGACGAACATGTGTGTTTTGTGCAGCGAGTGCAGATATGCACCTGTGTGCGGAAATTTTTATCTGCAACTTTAATCTAATTCACAATATTGAGAGCAGGAAAATGCGCTTTAAATGCGCGACGTGCCCGTTATGGTCGCACATTAACATATATAGATTTATCCACATATGTATAGCAGTTGCTATATCGTTAATTTACATATAAGAGTTATTGTTGCTTACCTTTAATGCGCTTTGTTGCGTCGACGCTGAGGTCAACAATGCCGGAAAGTTCCTGCCCAGCATAGTAAACACCTTGAGGATTATTATCAAAGGATATAAGGCACTCAATGGGCATATAACTATATTATTCACCAATTTAAGCAATTTGAACTTTTCTCTGCTGTATATATGTGAGGGTGTGTGTGTGTTGTATGTCAAAATGAATTGTATTTGCGTGCGCTTCTTCTCTTCTTCTTTAAATACTATAAGTACTTTGTTTGCTTTGTGTGTTGTTGCAAAATGTGTGTGAGTATGTCAAAACGCACTGCAAATCACTTTGCAGTTTAAATTTTCCACTGCTTCATTAAAATCTCACTTTTTTCAAGTGTGTGGTATTACTTCGTCGCCTGATTCAGTTGGAATTTTGGGTTACTCATACGCCTAGCGTGTCTCATTATACTCGCACATGTACAGTATACACAGGTTTATGCAAATCGCACACATCAGAGATACATGCGCATAAATTATACTTAAATGTGAACTGCTTGCACTATAATCACATATACATTTCCATATATATATGTATTCCAATTTTTTAATAAATTTTATTATGCGTATATCTAGCTAAAAATTCGACGAAGTGTGTTTATATAATTTGCGTTTTGCTTTTCCGTTACTTTAGAGCACTTTAATGAAATTTGTTGCTAACTTTAGCATAACATCCATTTGATTCGCCTTAAGTGATACATATTTTCACGGTATATTTTTGCCTGTGCGCACACACTTAGATATTTCACTAATTTTGCCTATTTTATGTTGTCTGCCACACCGCCACTTTGAAATTGCTTTGCGTTAAAACACGTTCCGCACGCTCGTATGTCCAACAGCCGTTTGTGAGTAAAAATGCTCATTTGATTTGACAGTCTGGCACATCGTCATCATTATCCTTGTACCGCTTTTTGTTTTTTGCCTTTATTTTGCCTGCGCTCTTTAGATTTGCTCTCGCACGCTCTCTCCGTTTTCGTTTCTTCTGTATACCGTTGTGTTTTGTTTACATCCAATCTTGTTTACATCACTTTCGGTTAGGGTTGGTATCTTCCCAAACTTAGTATCCTTAAAAAAGAAAGAATAAGTACACTACTTATTTCAAAATAAAAGTGCTTCGATCATCATGGTTTCGAACAAAAAAATTGTAATAGTCTTTCAACAGTTTCACAAGGTAAATGTTAGAATTTGAATGTATTTTGATGTTACTAAAGAGGACTATAAGCATATTTGTAAATGCAGCCTTCTGTTAAAAACTGATTATCTATTGAATTAACTCGTTATACTGCGCATCGATTGTAAATCAAAAACAACTCACAATTTCTGATTAAACAGGTTTTATTTCAAATATGTCATAGTTTTATACTCCTTAAAGCCAAATATATTTACAGTTTGCTTAACAGTGTCTGTTATATGCATTAACATCGACATTTAACATGTCTCTGTTAGCTAACTGTTTATGTTAAGACTATAATGTAAAGCAATATGCCTTTTAATTCGCACAGTGTATTCAACTGTACAACGAACAAAGTTTTCAAAAAAGCTCTCTAATTGAAAGCTTAAGCTTTTGGCGTCAGCTGTGCGTGTCCGATTGGAAATGAAAGCACAAAATGCAACTGTCAAAAACAGCTGAAGCACAGAATGGAATTGATTAAAGCAATTGATCTGGTAAACAATTACACAGCAAACAACCGATAAACAAGTCAATCTACACACACACTCAGTTTGTAACAAAACAGAAAAAAATAAAGTAAACAAAAGTAAGTGTTATCTGTCGCAAGACAGCTAAACTCCGCTGTAAATTTAAACAACATTTAACCTTACAATCACCTTTTCTGCGTTTTCAACCGACCAGTGCGATTTCAACAGTTACTGACTGTGCGTAAAATGACAATGTCAGTAAACTTATCAGGTATTCATTACTGCATACGCTGAAAAAGCATGTTTACTTAATATAATTAAATATTTTACAGCGCTCCGCCTGAAGTACCGTGAGAAGAAAGAAGTTTTCCTCGAAGAAAATATCAAAGTAAAGCAACCCATAAAGCTATTCCGCGAGTGGCTAGAAGAGGCGGTGAAAACCGAGGAGCTGCTCGAACCAAATGCCGCTTCTCTAGCAACAGTAAACAAGTAACAAATTTTAATATTTTTCAGATTCTATTAATTGTATTCACATATTGATTTATCTGTAGAGACGGCAAGCCCTCTAATCGCTTTGTGTTACTAAAAGATGTCACCGATGACGGCTTTCGCTTTTTCACCAACTATGGCAGTCATAAGGCTCAAGACATTGATGGCAATCCAAACGTAGCTATGACACTTTATTGGCTGCCACTACGCCGTCAAATACGTATTGAAGGCGTGGCTGAGAAGATATCCAAAGAAGATTCACTCACTTATTTTCATCAACGTCCGCGTGCATCTCAAATTGGTGCCTTGGCTAGCGAACAAAGTTCGCGTATACCATCTCGTCAGCATTTGGATGAAATCGAGAAGGAAATCAAAAACAAATTGGGATCAGATGGCGAAGTGCCGCTGCCCAATTGGGGTGGTTATCTAATACGACCGCATACCATTGAATTTTGGCAGGGACAAACCGATCGCCTACACGATCGCATACAATTCCGCCGTGGACCGGATGTTGAGAAGGTAAGCTTTCATGAATGTTTATGTATGATTGAATTCTCTGGTTTTACACACTGCTATGAAAAAAGTGCAATTTAAAATAATAACAAATGCTATACCGTCAAAATATAGAATTAGATAGTTAGAGCTTTTGAAAAACAACGCTATTGGTATGTTTAAATAGCGCGTAGATTGGCTAAGTGGGGATTATCTGGCGTTTAATTTATATTATCAGGTTCCAACAAGGTCTTTTCATTTTCAACATATTTTTTGCAGACAAAAAGGGAAGCAGAATATTTTTAGTTTCGGAGCATTTGCCCCTGTTCAGTCCCGACGAACTCTTCTTAAATATGTAAAGATTAACTATATTATATAAGTATATGATTCCTCTCCGTTTCTCGAAAGAATTAACTATAATATTTACATATAAATGTATTCAGGCATATCTAAATAGAGACAGTATTCATTTCAGGAAGTCGATGACAAGTTGACATATAAAGGTGAAGACGGTTGGGTCTACGAGCGATTGGCACCATAGATGTGGCGCTAGATGTGGACTGGACATCTTCTCAGATGACACATTTGATGAAGGTGATGTGCTGTGAGGCTAAACTCTAGCTAAGAAAACGAATTTTTGTTTTTCTACTAAATTTTGCAATGTACAATTTTTTATGTACAATTTGAAAAAAATGTGAATAAAATGGGGACACAATTTCATTTAAATCAGCTTGAAAAAAATTTTTAATTACAAGCTTCCTCACCTTATAGTACAAGGCGTATGAAAAAAAAAAATAGGAACTTTCGTTAAAAAATGTTTATTCATTAATGCTTTCGCCTTCAATAGTCCTCATTCGATATTATGTATTTATGCCAGCGCTTCTTCCAGTCATCGAAACCTCAGCGGCTGCTAAAGAGCAAAGAAGCAGTGAATACAGCTGAAAATCATCTTCAGAGGTATGTATGTATATATGAGTGCGTAAATTTGTTTTTTATAAAAAAACGGTTAAAAAACTGGAAATAATCGGTCGTATTGGAGATATGTGATATGTCCGATCTAGCCGATTTCGACAAATCGCGGATTATAATATCATAATGCAATTTCTTTTTAAATTTTATTCAGACATCTCAAAAAATTACGAAAAATTTTTTTATAATTCCTAAAAAACTTCGTCTTAAAATTAAGCTGGCTCGAAAACAGTTTGCAACAATTTTTAAAAGGAACTTCAGGTAAGCTAAAATGTAGTATTCACTTACGGACGTACATACATACATACCTATACTTACTATACTATAACAAAGTGATAGCAATGAATATTTGGAGCCTTAAAGAAGGTCGAGAGTTGACGCACGCTAAGACAAAATTTCTAAAAGTATTATATAACGCACATGTATGGTTATTTTTAACTTAATTAAAAGTTGCCCGTTGGAAACCATTTGTAGTCTCTGATAACACACAAGCACACGGTGTTGCAGAATTGGAAAGATTTGCGAACAAAATGAACGAAAATAGATTTTAGGACAGAACAAATACTAGAAGGGTATGAAAAGGTCGATAATTGGTGCAAATTACTTTGAAGATATTTTAATAATGCATTGCGAATTTAATGCGTAATTGTAAGCTTACTTGCATGGGAAACCATAGCAGCGAACCCTTGGCATTCAAGCACGAATTGTGCTAAATTTGCGTGTGTGATTTAATATTTTTTTTTCCCGTGAAAATTTTATAAGAAAGATCACACGGAGCACGAAAAATGAAAATAAATGTTTGGGGAGCTAATTGGTGAAAAATACAGGTATATTTGCTTTTTGTATGTATTGTTTTGACATTTTGGTGTTTTGCATGTATGTAGGTATTTCTTAGATATTTAAAGATTTTTTACAGTGTAGGTTCCACTAATGCTTTTCAGGGTATACGGAGGAGTTCAAACAATGCTTTACTCCTTCAGTTGTATGCCTGAAACATAAACCACTACCTCACATAGACTGCGACTGTGGCAGGTAGAAGTCGTTGTAGCAGAGGCGTAGTTGAAGTGGAAACATCAAGGCACCCCTCCTCATTTTAAAATGGAGTTTTAAGTACCACAAGGAACCGGCGTTCTAAGCTGTCCAAGTGAAACTTCTATTAGGATCAGTCTTTTAACCCAATCTAACCTTTACGCTCATTTCTAGAAATGTGAAAATATAATTATATAGTATGATATAAACTAGAAGACAGAGAGTAAAATTCAAAAACTAGTACAATGGTTCTGCCGATTTCATCGATTGGACTTGGACATTTCACTTAAAAGAATATTACGACATAATATTAAAAATATATGTAGTACGTATCTCACGATCCATTACAATTAACACAATATTCAGAATATGAGAGCTTGACGATGATATGGTTGAATACTTTGGAACGATTTTATGAAACAATGTCATGTTGTGAGATCACTTGGTCAATAAAAGGCCACAGGGTTCAGTTCCATAGCAATCCTTGCTTAAATTATCACTTGTACGTGTACGAAAGATGTCAATCACGTGTTTTTTTTTTTTTTTTTTTTTTTTAAATTAAAGCGCGCCTATCTTTATCTATCTTTCTAAAGCCGGAACATTTTTCTATTTGCTATTTGTAGTTAAAACGAAACTGATGAGAGGAAGCATGCATATCATATAAGCCCGTGCCGACATAGAATGCTTGACACCATCAGTCTTCCGTCATCTCAACTTTCCTGACAAGAACCTGGATTATTCGCATTGTCGCCTTCTACCCTCGCTTCATTGAAAGTGGCTTTCTCTTAAAAATATCGAATATATTGGGAATCGTAATCTCGACATTTTTACTTTCAGTTTTTCCTAAGTTTTTTGTAATGGAAGTTTCTTCTTGAAGTTAGTGTAAATAACTGTGTACAGGCAACTTGCTGGATAAATTTTGATTCGGAATTTATTTGGGAAATGATAATATTTAGCAATGATTATATTGATTTTATTAATTTGCAAAGGCAGTGTTAAAGACTGAGTAATAGGTAAATTTTCTCCTACCATATTCATCATAACATTTTTGTTTTTTTATCGACAGTCGAGGCTGGTGAAGCTGAATTCGTGATTTAAGATCATTTATTTATTAAACAAATTTCATGCAAATACCTTCAGATAGGGTCTTTACAATATTCTGTGATATTAGTGCTGGTACCTACCACAGTAGGTAGAAGACCATTAAAATAGGTGAAATTTTGAAATTTTTAGACACACTTGGCCTCTTGAATAAAAAATCTTGCTTACTGCCTTTGTCTATTACCATAAATCTTATGGCAAACTGCCACTTTGGCATTCCCGTTATCAAACTGCACATACAAAGAATCTTGATAATAACTAGATGTTATCTAACAAAGCACTAACGGGTTTTAACAATAGTTGCCCAATTTCAATAACGTAAAATACAATTATTATTCCAAGTTTTG